TTTGCCCCTGTTCGGGTCATACACCGGCATTGAGACTTCTGTTATCCCTCTTTCAATCATGAAGTCTCGTAATCTTGTTAGTGCCAATATCATGTGTTCGGGATCGATTGTGTTCCTGTCATTGACCCTCGTTACTAGGAAGCACAGATATTTGCCCGGGACTTGTGCCACTGACGGTGGAAGCGCTGCCATCCCTCCCAGTCCTGGTCTCTGTCTGAACAGAAACTCTACATGCTGGTACTCTCTTTTGAAGTCAGCTTCCAATCTTGATTTGAAACTCATGTCCGCCGTGATGCAGATCGCGCTGGTCCTGTTTGACAGGATGAAGTCGCTATCTGTTATCATGATGTTCTCCGAGTTTTCATTGGGTATTTCGAATTTCGTTTTGAAATTCCGACCTATAGTAGGCTCTGGCTCTTCTTCCTCCAGTTCCAATTCGCTCGTTTCTCTCACTTCCTTGAGCTTCTTTATCATCAAATTTTCGGTGTGGGTAAGTCCTACCCCCACTCCCCGGACAAAAATATTTATCGACGTCCCCGTCGATGTTGTCGGGTCTGAATTGTCCTGAGGAATGTCCAGTGGCCTGTCTGTTGCCGTCCATCCGAAAAGAGGGTCCTCTGTCTTCATGTAATTTGCTGCTGATACATCGACTTGCTGAATGCTTTGTCCTTTGCGGCTCTCGTCTTTGACATCACGCATCCACTCTAGAATCCTCAAGTTCGTGTTCTCCCTCCTCTCTATCTCACTCTGTTCGAGATCCGTTTCTACTTCTGGCGTCGAGTAATCATCCTGCAGATAATGACCACCATCGTCAATGACCTGCCATTCCTCTCCAGCTTCCAGTTCGCCTGCCTTCAGTAATTCCTCGCCCAATTTGTCTGGCTGTATCTTATCGATCAAGAAGTCGTCCCCGTACCTGTTGTACCTCATGCCTGTGCGTTTGCGATTGCCAGTCCTGGTTTCCGGTGGTGTTGTTCGATCCGGTTCCATCCATTTCGGCACCTCGTCTTGCTCCGGGTCGTTCCAGTCTTCTTCTACAAATGATCCTGCATCAGACTCCACTCCTATCTTTTCATTGTCGTCCAAACTCAAGTTCTCATTACCATCATTTTTCTCTCTAGTGCCTTTCTCATTCACTTCACACGCTGGCTCTACCACCAGATACTCAAGACCCTCCATGTCCTTCGGTATGCACCAATCCTCTGGAGACGGGACGTGAGGCTTCAGATTTTCATAATGTGCCGCTCGCCCAGTACTCAAGCGATAGAACCGTCCTTGTTGATGAACCTCCGTTATCATGAATGGTCCCCTCCACTTCTTGAGTAGTTTCTTTGTTCCCTTGGGCGGTATGACATTTTGGAAGACCCACACGTATTGGCCCACTTCATATGGCTTTGCTCGTAATAATTTTTCGTCGTATTTCCTGCGTTGCCTCATTTGCGCTTGCGCCGTGTTCCTCCTGCATAGCTCGTTCAATTCCTGTTGTCTTTTGATCGCTTCTTTCACGTATGCCTGAGGCGACGTCTTTTTCCCTTCGTATTCCGGGTAAAAGAATGTCAGAGGCATTGCTCTCTCCCTGCCCGTCAACATCATGAAAGGACTGATGCCCGTAGTTGAGTGCTGTGTACTGTTGTAGGCTCCTACTACCTGTGGCAGGTATTTGTCCCAGTCCGTCATGTATCTTGAGCAGTACACCCTTAACATGTTGACCAGTGTCCTGTTTTGTCTCTCTACCAACCCATTGGTCTGTGGATGATAGGTTGTCGAGTGTGCTTGAGCAATGTACGATCTCTTCATCAATTCTTTTGTCAAGTCCCCTACAAAAGCTTTGCCGTTGTCCGACTGGAAAGTCATTGGACAACCATACCGCGATATCCAATGCGTTATCAGATGATCACATGTCTCCTCGGCCGAGGCTGTTTGGCACGGGACCGCTTCCGCCAACTTTGTGAAGTGATCTATTATAACCAGTATCTGGTTATATCCCGACTCCGTCATGCAGATTTTTTGATGGTCTATCTGCACCACTTCATTGAACTCTGAGCTCTCAACAGACTTGAGGGGAAACTTCATCTTCCTTGGGTCTTTTACCTGGAGACATGCCAGGCAGGCATTCACCCATCTCTCGCAAGCTTTTCTCATTCCTGGCCAATCAAACCTGTGAAGTATCCTTTGTTGTACTTTGTCTATCCCCTGGTGGCCCATCTGGTCGTGCGATCTGAAAAGCACCTCCGTTTGATACAACTGCGGCAGTATGATGAGGTTGTGTTTGTGTAATATCTTCTCCTCATCTTTCCTCTTGCATGCTACCACCCCATCAGCTGTGTGGTAGAGTAAGTCTTTTTTCTCTTTGTAGAACTGGCTCAAGATCTTGTAGCTGTCTTCCTCGAGTTCCCCCTTCTCCTTGACCCCCGACTGGATCCATTTGGAGAGGTTACTTGTCATTTTGTCATTCTTTTGGGCTCTTATTAGGTCTGACAGCCTATATCTTGCCTTGACATGCTCCTTTAGCGCCATGATCTGTCCATTCATCTCACCAGGTTTGTGGATGTCATCACTCAGCTTCACGCATATCATCCTTTTCACGATTTTCATATCATCTTCTGGCACCAGATTTGTTCTGACGTTTGAGTTGCATGATAGTTCTCTGTATGGCTTCCTTGAAACCGCAATTCTCTCAAGTTCCTCACCACCTCGTATCTCCTGTATCTCCAGATTGTACGTTCCTGATGATGGATCCGTCTGTAACTCCCTGTCGTGGTGCCTTGTCTTCTCTTCCGCCAGTATCATGCACAGACTGTCCTGGTTTTCGCTGCTCTCATCCGAGTCTTCATCCCATCCTTCACGCTCCCCGGACAATTTTCCTTCTCCGGTTCCTTCTTCCGTGAACCTGGAACACTCCCCGGACTCTTGACCTGGTCCCAGGTGCTCAGTATCTTCCTTGAACGTCACTTTCTTTTTCCTAACCCTGGTCTGCTCCAGAATGTCTTCGGGGATTTTGTCAACTAGTGACCGCACGACATCTTTGCTGTCAGTGACGCTTCCTCTTGATGAGTCAGTATCGTTCACTGTCTCTTTTCTCCGAAGTATAGTGAATTCCGGTTTCTCTGTACCCTTCTCCTGGATCACGGGCTTATCATCTGATAGTTTCTCGAGCAACCTCATTAAGTCATCATCTATCTGTGCAGTTCCTGCTTCCACCTGGTTAAGATCATAGCCTTTTGCCTTGAGCGTCTCCTTCACGATCTTCGACTTGAGTATAATCTCAATCGGAATCCTCTTGCTCTTCCTTAAGATGGTCTTCTCTGGAGGCTCTTTAGGCAATTCAGGATGATCTTCTATCGGTTTGCCTGACTTGTCCAGCCATCTCGTGAGTGGAAGACTGTCGTACGTTTCCTTGTCCATGAATGAGAAGCCATCTTTGATTTCAGGCCTGTCTGCTTCTCTTTGCTCTTGTCTCTCATAGAACTCCGTCTTCTTACTCAAGCTGTCGGCATTCTGATGTTTATCTCGCGTTCTATGGTCAATTATCATGTTGTATCCGTCCAGGCGAACTATCCACCTCCCAATGTAACTTTGGTCCATTGAGTACGTTTTCAGCCAGCTCAGTGCTCTGTTGTCGACTCGCAACTTGAATGGTTCACTGCCCAAGTATGCCCTGTATTTCTCGACAAAGGTAACCACCGCGAACATCTCAGCTTTCGGTGCTCCGTACTTCATTTCCGTGTCACTCAGGACTTTGCTCCCGTACGCTATTGGTCTCAAGACTGTCTTCCCATTCCATTCTTGTTCTTGGTGGAGAATCCCAGAAATCGCGACTACCGACGCATCCGTGTCCAGCACGTACATCCCTTTCTCAGTCGGCATACCCAGTACTGGTGCCTCATATAGCTCTTTCTTTATCCTCTGGAATGACTCTTCTGCTGCGTTGTTCCACGTGAACTTCTTGCCCTTGTGTCTCATTAATTGTTGCATCGGGTATACCTTGTCTGCATAGCCTTTGATGAACTCTCTATAATAGTTAGCGAAACCCAGGAAGCTCATCAACTGGTGCTCTGTCTTCGGTGATTTCCAGGTCAGGACTGCTTCCACGGCGTCCGTATCAGGTCTGATGCCGTGCTTGTCTACCATCCTGCCCAAGTATTTTAATGAGTCCTTGAGTATCTCGCACTTTGATGGTTTACACTTTAGCCCCGACCTCTTCATGCATGCAAACACTTCGTCTAGTCTCTCAATGTGGTCTTCCAGTGTTGGCGTCGCTATTACCACGTCATCCACGTAGCACATTACCAGGTTGCCATACTTCTTCGTTACGCCTATCAGCGCGTGTGCCATCAACCACTGAAACGTGGCTGTGGCATTGCAAAGTCCAAACGGCATCCGTTTCCATTGAAACAGACCCAACTCGCAGGCAAACCCTGTCTTGTCCCTGTCCTGCTTCCTTAGTGGTACTTGCCAAAAGGCTGAGCCTAAATCAAGAGTAGTAAAAAATTTTGCATCACCTAACTTCGAGAGGCTCTCATCAATCCTAGGTATGGGATAGGCATCCTTCACCGTGACGGAGTTCAGGTATCGAAAGTCACAACAAAACCTCAACTGGTCGCCTTTCTTTTTGGCTATCACTACTCCACACGCCCACGGTGACTTGGATGGTTCTATCATGTCATACTCTAGTAACGTCTCGATCTCTTTTCTACACGCGTCCGATTTGTGTGGGGTCATGCGCCTCGCCCCCTCCCTGTGTGGTACCGCGTTTTCCTCAAGTTCTATTTCATGCTCAACGAAATTGCAACACCCGATATCCGCCTTATGCCTCGAAAAAACATCCTCGTTCCGCTCTAGTACGTCCTTGATGGCTTCGAGCTGTTCATCTTTCAGTTTGCCCCTCAAATGTTCAATCTCCGGCAGAACCGGTTTTTCATTTTGCATTTTATCTAGTGTGGGTCGCTCTGGAAAGTTCGAACAGCTCGAAAGACCATCATCCGTTTCTGACTTAAGTGATTTAATAAGACCTGAAGAATCTTTTATTTTCTGCAATCGTCTCAAGATACAAATTTTGTCCCTGTGATTGGGACAATCAACAACTTCATTTTGTTTTGAGTTCTCAATTGTTTCATATCGAGTTTTAACCGGTAAAGCATATCCCAGTTTCCTCCCTCTCTGTATCGTGATCGGTATATCAAGGGTATTCAACAAGACACTGACGCAGAGGCCGCTCTTCGTTATCGAAAATGATCTTCCTAAAACAGCAGCACTTTGACTATTAGGATTCGGAACTATGCACACTTGCTTGTTGTCACTTAGTTCATTGTAATTTTTCATCCTCAAACTTACGATTGCCGCTTCATTAGCTTTTAGCCTCACCCTCCTACTCAAGAATACCGGTGCTTTGTTTTCATTTACCATTATTAAATTTACCGGTTTGATTGCGTACCTCCTATCCGGGTTCCGTATCCTGAACATTGCGTTATTTAAATCAATCGTTACGTCGAAGTTCCTGATGAAGTCTCTGCCCAAAATGAATTGGTCAGATTCATCTAGGTTTTCTACCACGATAAAGCTCATCCACAGGTTACGTTCCCCCAAATTGAGGGCTATTATCGGCGTCCTGCCCAGCACCCGTAGGGCCCCTTTGTTTGCAGCTGACAGCCGTATTCTCGAGTCTATCAAGTCACCTTTGTCAAAGCCCATCTTCTCCCAAGTTTCGATTGGTATAACGCTCAAGACTGCTCCCGTGTCAAGCAACCCACGCAACTGAGTCTTTTTGCCACTTATATCTAGCACGTGCCCTGTCACATCTGCCTCTGTTCCGATGTGCATTGCATCTTCTTCAAGCATGGCGCAGTGTCCAATCGATCTCACTTTCAACTCTTCTTTACCTACGTAGATTTGCCCAATTAGGTCTTCGTCACATGTTATCATCGTCTTGGTGTAGATGTTAATCCCATCTATATTTAGCATCACCTCGTGTGGACCATAAGCTTCAGTATACCTGTTATCAACACGTACCGACTTGCTGCCCCCTCTCGTGAGTAGTGCTCTCAGCGCTCTAGAAGTCGTTTGTGGGCTTATACGACTCAAGTAATCTGCGTACACATCAATATGCATTACTGTCTGGTCACTCGGTTCGCTCAAGTTTCTGGTTACCTCGTGGCCGCCCACTGTGATTATCGACATTATTCTAGCCCCGATTCTCGATATGCCGAATGGCTTTCCCGTAATCATTTTTACAGTGTTACAATTCCCGGTCTTTGTTGAGCCCGGTACAGCTTCTGGTGCTTGGTTCGATCCAGTTAATGCTTCGTTAAAATTCTGTCTTTCTATCTCCAGCTTTAGTCGTTGCTCTATTTCTTTCGCAGCCAGGTCCTGTTTCACTTTGGCAATTGCTTCCGTCGCCGCTTTCTCATAATTTATCTCTAGAGAGTTCCCTGCCGCGGATTCTATGGCATCATTAACATGTGATACAGCTTTCACTGTCTTCGTCGGCAATTCCGTGCTTGGTGCTCCTAAGTTCCTCGATTCAAATTCGTTTTGCCTGTTCCGCTGATTCTGCACCGCCGCTAATGCCAACTTATGTTTAGGGTGACTCTGGTCCTTGACCGCTTCCCAGAACAAGGGACAATCCATTCGGAAGTGCCCCTCCTGGTTACAGAAGAAGCATCTTGCGCCTATCTTGATGATTAAGCCACTATAGTACTCGTGTTCCTCCATCTGGCTCATGTCCTCCTGATCTGGTGCATATCCTAGACTCTTCATACCTTGTTTGTATGTTGTGCAGTCAGCCACGTGGTGATCCGCCGACCCGCAGTTCGCGCATGATCTGCGCTTGTCCATGTCATCTCTAGGTTTGTACCATGACGACCTCTGCGGTTGACTTCCCCCTTGTGTGTTCCTGTTTTCTGAATACGAGTATTTCATGGGTTTCATCAGCATGTATTCCCTTGATTTCTGTCTCATTTCTTCTGGGGTTGGTGCGCTGTCTTTCGACAATGTGTAGTATGTTGCTAACATTGTCCTTAAGTCGTCACTTTTTACCCCATCAATGAACTTCGAGGCAATGCTAAAGTTTCTTCTGTTTGTCGACTCCTCTGGGTCACTCCTTCTTCTCAAGCTCTCGAGATCATCTAGGAACCGATCTATTGACTCGTCGTCCCTCTGCCTTCTCTTTTCAAATCGCATCATCGCTTGGTGACCCTTCATGCCTGACCCGAATCGATTCAGCAATATCTCGAAGATCTTGTCCGCGGTATCGCGTTCTTCTTCTTTCTTCGCAACCACGCATTTTAATGCTGTGCCTTCTAAATTGCTGAGTATGGCTGTGCATGCTTGTCTTTCATCGTTCAAGTTGTCTTGCTCTAGATGTAATCTCATCACTTCCACCCACGTGTCAATGCATCCATCTGAGTCGTCTTTGAATTCTTTTGGCTTCTTGAATGTTTTTCTTGATTTCCCATCTCTCCTATCGCTCGATTTAGTGTTCCTCGTGGCGAAGGCCTCTAGAGTCCTGTTCATCATCTCCCAAGTGTTTGCCCATGTCATAGCATCCGGACCTGCGTTGCTGTTAGCTGTTGAGTCCCCCGGACCAGTCGTTGTACTTGACATTCCATTCTTCATGATTGTTTTAGCAGCTGTTGGTGCTATGCTCACCGTATCCCGGGTTAAGGGCAACGGTGTCGATTGCCGCTTGTTCTTTTGTGGTTCCACAAAGTCAACTCTGGTGCCTTGCGCGCGATCCGCTGCCGGTCTTTCTTGTGAGGTAGAATTACTCAAGATTGCATCCAATTTCGCCTGTATTGCACACGAACTCTCGGCCTGATTTTTGCTCATTGTGTCCATTCTCTTTTCCAGGCTACCTAATTGGCTGTTGACATCATCATATCGGTTTTTTAACTGTTGCAAATCTTTTTTGATGTTCTTATCTCGTTCTTCATTGGTGGTTTCTACATTATCTGACATTTCCTTGAGTCTCTCTTCTGTTGCCTTGGCCAGGTTAAAATAACTATCCAGATACTCGTTTTTGTTGTATCTTAATTCTTTTCTTATCACTTCTCTGTCCTCTTCGCTGTGCTTCAGCTTTTTGTCGATCTGATTCAGTTTCGCCATCAAGTCACCTAGCTCAAGAGTAGCCTCTTCATGGTCAGCCGTCGGTCTTTCTTCGGCCGTCGCTTCTGCTCTAGTTTGTTCCTCTCTCGGATTGGCTTCTGTCGTCTTCGTGCTTACTGTTCCAAATGTTCGTGCTCTTTCAGCTTTTGGTTCTTCAGTCACGTTCTCTTTCGTTTTTATTCCGACCATCATCGCCAACCTTTCTGTAAAAGATGTCTTTTTTACTTGAGAGTCTTCTTTCACCGTTTCTTCGGTGTTGCCTATTGCATCTTCCATGTTGTCTATTGGTGAGAATTCTATGGGTTTCGAGTTTGGTTCTTCTGCATTGGGCATTGGAGTTGACTCCGTCGCTATTTTCCTTGTTTCATCAACACTTTGATCAGGTGTCTCTAGATCAATCTCGATGGTGGGTTCTACTCGTTCCCCTTCCATGCCCTCTCTTGCTCTCTCCGCTGTACTCCTTGTCTGGCCATGTTAACTGAAAAGTTCTTCTTTGTTATCTTTGGGCCCATTGATGTTGTTTTGCGTAGCGACGAATTATACTTTGCTTCGGTAGGTCTTTTTTCAGCTACCGGTACCCTGCTCCGCCTCATTATTTCTATTTACAATTGCTTTTATTTACAGTTTTACTATATACACAATCCTATTCTAAGAATAAAATCTTTCGGGAAGGAAGAGAAAAAGAAAAAAATATATACAACGTGGTGAAAACCTTGTTTCAGTTCTCTTTATTAACTTTTCGAGAAACTTTCCTTATTTGTGGTCTCAACCGTACCTGGTTCCAATTAGTCTTGTTCTATCTTAATTCTGTCTTAAAACACTTCTTGTAATTTTACTTCAATTTTTTACACTGTCCCAAGACTTCCAATTGCCGTCCCTACTCTTCTTTGTACCGTCCCAGGCTTCTTTCTCCTGCCCCAAGACTGTTCGGTACCGTCCCAGTACTTTCCGGCCGTGTCCCAAGACTCTTGTCTAAGACTACTGTCCCAAGGCTAGTGTACCAAGACTACTGTCCCAAGACTACTGTCCCAAGATTAGTGTCCCAAGACTAGTGTCCCAAGACTAGTGTCCCAAGACTACTGTCCCAAGACCCTGTCCCTAGACCCTTGTCCCAAGACCCTGTCCCAAGACCTTGTCCCAAGACCCCGTCCCAAGACCTTGTCCCAAGACCCTGTCCCAAGACCTTGTCCCAAGACCTTGTCCCAAGACCCCGTCCCAAGACCTTGTCCCAAGACCCTGTCCCAAGACCTTGTCCCAAGACCTTGTCCCAAGACCCTGTCCCAAGACCCTGTCCCAAGACCCTGTCCCAAGACCTTGTCCCAAGACCTTGTCCCAAGACCCTGTCCCAAGACCCTGTCCCAAGACCTTGTCCCAAGACCCTGTCCCAAGACCTTGTCCCAAGACCCTGTCCCAAGACCCTGTCCCAAGACCCTTGTCCCAAGACCTTGTCCCAAGACCCTGTCCCAAGACCCTGTCCCAAGACCACTGTCCCAAGACTGTACTGTCCCAAGACTGCTCTGTCCTAAGACTTCTTCGGCACTGTCCCAAGACTGTTGACAAGTGTCTGGGTGGTGGGACTTTTTCCCTCTTCGTTATGGGGACTTCTTGATTCGCCGTACCTTGTACCACCACTCAAGCTCTAGTAAAATTTTCCCAAAATCCTCTCTTAAAAGCCAAATGCTGACCCCCCTTTTTCTTATTTCTCTTTTTGGCTACCTCTATTTCAATGTTCCAAGTAACTTGAGACCAAAACCTGTGCGCAGGTATCTTGTGATCACCTGTTCGTACAAAATTTTAACACAAATCCTCACCAAAATGCAACAAAAATCTAAGCAAGAAAAAGTAATAAAAACAGAAAGATGAGCCCACCTAAAATTCAAAGGTGACAAATGTCTACCTTCTATCGA